ACTGCCTGTGCACCACCCAAGGGTTGTTCGTTGGTTCTGGGTTTCACATGGGTTGCTTGGGGGTGTTGGTCTTGGGTGTTCTGTTGATCTCCCCAGTCTGGCATATCACACGTTCGTGCCATTTCCACTAGTCGTTCACATGGTAGAGTCATTGGATTACACATTACAAGGTCACGGGTTCGAGCTTGGCTCGGACCTTGGGGGGGTCCTTGTCCAGCTTACCCCGTTTTCTCTTCGATATACACACATGATGCTGCCTATACATCTCTATACATCTATTCACAGAGCACACACATGGCCTACGGGCTACATACACAAGTTTCCACACATGGTGCTGTCTGTACATCTTGATACATAGATACACGGAGCATACATAGCCTTCGGGTACACACATAGACTGCGAAGTACACAACTATCAGACTGGGGGGGTCTGGTCACTGGGTGGGGTCTAGTATCTGCAGTAGGGACAGGTATGGGCCACCGGAGTTCCTATTAATATTCGAATAGAACTGTCTAGTGACTATATATAAGGCGTAGACCCTGGGGTAAGGGTAGGGGTATAAGTCGCTCAGGCCAGTCCGAGTTCTGCCTGGCCTTCGGTAAGCTAGGGGAAGGACGGTAAGACTGCTTCAATGGGTGCTACCCTGTCTGAATCCTAGGGCCCAGAGTCTCTTGGGGCCTGTAGTAGATTGTCTGGCCCTGGCGTCCGAAGTTCCCGTTCAACAAGGCTCGTCTGATCCCGCTTCCACCAGGGCTGGGCAACCTATCAGCCCTGGTGCCTATCACCGCTGTTCGGTCCAAGTTCCCTGCCCATTGGTAGGGTAATGGTCCTGAGTGCTGGTCACACTGAGGTAGGATAGTGGGATAGGGCGTCCGTTAGGAGTATTGACGTGAGGATGGGATGGGAGGTGGTCTCATATTCCAGGACCCCCACGGCCTACAGCTCCATAGGATCACTGTGTACTCAGTTACTGGCCTCTACAACACCATGGACATTTTGAAAGAAAGAAAAAAAAATGTTGTGATCTTTCCAGGAAAATTATCAGAAACTTTTCAGAAAATCATTAAGACCGCAAAATAATTGCCGCGCCAATTTGACCCATATTCCATTTTTGCCACTCAGCCATGTGTGGGCCAATGGAAAAAGTACTCCAACTTCATTGATTTTTTGCTCCCAGAATAATGCCCAAAAAAACCTGAAAATTGCAGTGGTCCTAGACTTTGTTGTGATCTTTCCAGGAAAAAATATTAAATATATTTTTTTAAAATTATTCCAACTGCGAAATAGATCGCAGCCGCAATTTGACCGATGTTCCAATTTTGCCATTCAGCCTCTCTCCCCCCAG